CACACACACACACACACACACACACACACACACACACACACACACACACACACACACACATACACTCACACACACTCTCACACACTCACACACGCGCGCGCGCGCATACACATCTGTCTTTTCTTTTATTAATCTTTAACTTTTTAAAAATACTTTATCTTTGTAAAAAAATAGCGCTTTTTTTCACTACATTAACACTAAACATCTAAAGCTATTGTCAATTTTGAATTATTCATATTACATTTATATTCCAATTATAATTAAGGAATTTTATTCCCGCGTTTTTTTTGCTATACATGTGTGTGTGTGTGTGTGTGTGTGTGTGGGTGTGTGTGTGTGTGTGTGTGTGTGTGTGTGTAATTTTTGCATCTTGTAATGTTTACGTAAATCTCTCTTTTCATCGATTGTTAAAGTAAAGATTACAGGACTGTGATAGGTTTAATTTGCTAATAATAGTAGGGCTATTTATTGTTAGCTGATGCTATCATTAAAATCAAACAACACTTATTACTGTCACAAATAGGAAGATACTGACAATGAACGAGATAATTAAAAATCGATAGTAACTTTCGCAATAATTAATTAATTAAATAATAAGTGTAGGTACTGCACAAATTCGTACCTATTATTAGTATTTTAGTACCTATCTCAAATTATAGAAAATTGACATATATCCCGAATCAGTGAATCAATGAAAATCTTACGATTCTGCAAAACTGAATACTTATGATCTCATAAGATGCTAGAACGATTTCGTCTACGCTGAAAAGCATATTACAGATCGGTCGCTCGAACATTACCAGCTTTTCTCTCTATAGGGATAAATGCGGCTTGCAACTTGAATTGTCCAATTGGCGGCGATCCTTCGTTTCCTCTTCCCGCTACTACGCAATGTCTTTGGCCCAGTTTTCTCATCGGCGCGGCGTAGTGACGTCATTCACGTCATTGAGAAGGCCACTGACAACGCGCGTCCCAGTTCCTGCCGCAGCAATTCTGCCATTTCCGCCGCGCAATGCGGAACGAACTCGGTCGGGATTTAATCCTTCGACTCTTTGTCGCGATCATTCTTGAATCTCACCTCTTGTACATACATAAGTACGTAACGTACATGTGTGAAATAACTACGTATACTATATGTCTTGCAATGACCTAGCTGCTATTCTTTCCAAATTTCGCACAAATATCGTACGAGTGTCGTACGCAAGAATCATATACGTCTCAAACAGTAATGTCCACTTTCTTTCAAACTAACATATAATTATAATAATATATTAAATATTTATCTCAAGAGAAAACTTATATAAATTTTTATAATAAATGTATGATTATCCGAAAAAAATAATTATTAATGGATGTCAATTAATTTTAACTTGGCAGAATTAATTAAAATAAGATTGTTTATATAACCATAGATATTATTATGTGTGATACTTTTCCTTCTTTTCCTTTTTTTTTTCATTTTGATATTTATAATAGATATTATAATAGATATTAGATTTAAAAATATAAGATTCTACTTAAGAAAAGTAAAAATCAGCTGGACATTTTAAACATAATATAATTATACGTATATTATCATATCTATAACGTGTAAGTTATTTTCAAAATCATTTAAAAAAATTTTTTCAAATTGATTTTCTAAACAACGTACTGGATATAGAAAAAGGAATTTGTTTTAAATTAAATTATTATTTTTTTAGATTTAATTTCAATAGTATGCGTACGTTTACTTTAGTAGTTTGATACCATGCATTATATTT